GTTTTGTGAGGTGCTTTCGTGATATTTAATGGATCGGATTACATTTTTTATTTTTCTCCGATATCCGATCCAGTAATTTAGGTCAGTATCGGACCGATACCGATACGTAATATCGGATCGGTCCATCTCTACCATGGAGTGCTATCCCCAAACTTATTCATGGCTGAATTATCATACAGAAAAGCAGTGTTACAATACGATGTGCTGAGCGAGAACAGTGTGCCTGTGTTAGTGTTTTAATTAGTTTTGGATAGAGTTTCATGTGATCGCTGACCTTGTTTCACCCAGTAAAAATGAGTAATTTACTTTAGCATATATAGTTATTTAAAGACTTAAATTATGTGGACTTCTTTATAATAAAAGGTAAAAACACCTGGAATGCTTGTGAGCATCATAAAGCCCTGACTTTCAGGGGCCTTTAGTCCCAATCCAGGTATGCGTGTTCAGTAATTGATAAACACTGAGTTTGCAGGGGAAGATCACATTCACTGTCAAGGCTGATCTCACAGGGCTCAGAGGGTCAGACTTTCAGTTCATATCTCTCTGGCATCTATATCAATGACCCCTAAAGGCAACAGAAATGCAACACTTTAAGAGCAAGACTAAGAGTTAAAACAACCAGATAAAGATCAAATAAACACACTGTCTTCCCACCAGTGGATCAACCTCAGCTGCATAAACACACTAACATCTACAAATGTTAACATATGGCATCCATCCAAATGCATTTGTGTGTTTGTGTAAAGTCTGAGCATGCACACTCCATCAAACGTGTACATACCTGATGTATGTAATTGTGTGTGTGCTCCATGCGTGTGGGTGGGGGCAAGGACTCTCTAAGTTGATGACCCTGACCTTACTAGACAGATAACTTCAGACTGCTATTGACTGAAAGATCAGTGTTTCCCTAAAACAATACATAGCTGAGTGCATTTCAGGAAAATCCTAATGGAAAAAACAATAATTGCCAAACAGGTAGCAGATAAATGTCCCATAATGCATTGTTCACATTAACTAACAGGTCAGTTAACGTGTGTGAAAGCTTTAAACTTAAATTTCTTCAAGTAATATAAGGTTTTTAAACCAATACTGAGGTATTCTTGTTTTTGTTTTACAAGTGGTCCTCGATATTTTACTCATTTATACTCTACCCAACTCAGCTTGTTTTGTTGTTCGTTTGTGGCATTTCAAACAGGAAGTTGGAGAGTGCCTTCTGGTGGAAAAACATCAACACTCATAAGGTTGTGTACCTGGTTTCTTCTTTATTTTTATAATTTTCATTTATTGTCCATTATAAATGCTAATACAGATATATCAGCAAACAGCTAATATCTATAAATATATTGACCCTCCTGATATATCATTCTGGCTCTACTTTACACTCCTGTAAATATATTGACGTGTACCTGAAAAAATGTCTACATTATAACAAATGACATGAACAAATGCAAAAATAAGCACTGCTCTTTACTTAGTACAGTGTCTTGTCTTTTTACGTCTGAACCTGGATTATTCTTTATGCTATATTGATTTTACACATGCATATATATAGCATACCTTTGTAGGGGATTCAGCCAGATTGTCAGGGTCAAGCAAGTAGATGTGGTCCCTGGCTCCCAACAGAAGACGACCCCTCTCTTCATCCAACAACAGCGACTGCGAATGAAGGCCATTGGAGGGGCTCAAAAACAGAGATACACTGCCCACCTTCAGCAGTTCTGTCCCAGTATGAGAAAGACACAGACAAACACATTAACAAATATCCCCACTGCGATGTAAAATGCAGTATTGTGAGTCAAATTAAACTAAAGTGAAAAAACATATTTTGGTAGGACTACACTGTGGGGCACAATTTATTCTCTGCAGTTTAAAACCAGTATAATCCCAAAGACAGTCACTGAGATGAAAAAAGTCTTGACTTAAAGTTGCCTAATCCTGTTTAGCTACACATGCTCATAAATACGACTTTTTTTTTCAATTTAGATAGCATAGTATCTCAGTAAGTAGACTTTTAGACAGGAATACCTGTTGTTCATCCATTACACAATAGTACGATTTTGCTATTCACTTGTACATTTTTATGCAGAACACGTACTGTTTTTATATGAAATTATATATACAGTTTGCTTGCTTTAGACCTGGACTCGCAGCTTGTAAGGTCCATAGGTTTCTGAAAGCTGAATATGTTCGACATTTTTAGCTCAGAATCGTGTCTTTGATCTCCATTAGAGGAACTCTCTTCTATCACGAGGCTCTTTTCAGCGCACCACACTTGCCACATGCCTTGAGTAAACACTGGCTCGGTGCAGAGGAGTCCTGTGGGAGTCACTCTGAAAGGATTGACACTGTGATTACCCTCTTGGTGAGAATGATTGGAGAGGTTACCAACCTTCAATATTTGAACTTTTGGGACCCCTCCTCACCACACAATCTCCCTTAATACCTCCCCTTTACACTGAACCCCCACGTGCTGATGTATCTCCCTCCTACACACATATCATGCCCCAAACAGACAAAACTCACAAAGAGATTAGGCCTGCTAGTCCTTGGTGTGGTGTGCAGTAATCTGTTCTGTAAACACACAGCACTATGAGCCTATTGAAGCTTAGCATAGTCTCCACACATTTCTTCAAAGAGGAGAGCCCTAAACAACATGAAAACCTCTTGATTAGCTTTGTTATTGGAACTCAATGTTGCTTTCATGCACGCAGTTATTGGAGTAAGACTTGATCAAGCTTTAGACTTAGAGACCTCTTCAGAGCTGTAAGCAATGCCTGAATCTGCCCTTTCTCACATGTAGCACATGGCAGGAGGTCAACTGCATCAGACACATTGTCACTGCTAAAAATACCTCATATGGTGAAGGATAGGGGTGTGCAGGATGCAGGTCACATCACACCTATATGCTTGCTATGATTTATCCAGACAATTATCCTGCTCAATTCCCATTTGTAATCAAAGACTTTGTAGCTACCAGGGTAACACGTTCATTTATTGAATGATCCATCTGGTCATTTCTGTTTTCACTTGTAGCTCCACCAAAATCTGATTATGGTGAAACAATTACAGTCTCAGGAATAAATATGCAATGTGGTTTCAGAATATTCAGAGGAGCATGGCAGACACTATTATATTTTAGGTCAGACAGACATATTGATTAGAAGCTAATGCTACATGTTCACTAGATGAAAACTAAAGTTCTTGGGTTTTTATTTTAAAGCAGTTTGTTTAGAGGTACTCCCTCAATGAGGGATTTTTACTTTTTATAATTTCACCCTTTAGTCATTGAATCTGTATTTGGGCTTACGTAAAGCTGATGCAATGCTGGAAGTAAATTCACTGCTGGGTGGTGTTGCTTTTGAACAGTGTCCACTAATGAAATGATGACAAGAGGAGCAGGATGCATGCACCTGGTTAAGCTTTTGTTATTTTTGACAGATTTGTCTTTGCCTCAGTGATTCTCGCTGAGAGAACCAAATATGGATATTGCTGTCAAATAGCCATTCACTTTAGTGAAGATTAAAGTAGCATGTAGCCAAATTAAAGGCAATCAGAGTACATGACATGATAAAGTACTTCACTTTACTGGCTTGGAAGAAACATAAAATAAGACAAACTGTAGAGCTAAATACTAGGCTAACTGCTGAAAAAACAGTGTCCACAGTAATCCTTATTCCTGCAGCTACTTGCATATGTTTTTGTTGGACACATAGGACATGCATATGTATCTATTTCCAGGCATAGTTGGTTTTAGAAGCCTTGACCAAAAGACCAAAAGCTTTTGGAGGTTGAAGTCAGAGTGAGTTCACTTTCAGGTCACAGTGGGGATTCAATTTTATGGAACAAAAGTTAAGTTAATATGTGTGGTTCCTTGTAGCTGATACACAGCATTAGGGATGAAGACTTTGAAGTAAAGTTTGCACTCAGGTTTGAGGAATGCAAAAATATAACTTTCTAACTTTTGGTGGCACAAAGCAAACACACTTGGTTTATGCAAAGCCACATACATGGACACAGAGCACATTTATATGATCAGATAATATCCACACAGCAGACTGATGGATCAGTAAGTGAGAAACCTTTCACTTTGCTTCATGCTTAAGTGCTACAGATCATCTCCATAAACGTCACTAAATTCTCCTCTTACCATTTCCTCTGCCTGTTGCACAAGTCACATTCAAGTAAGAAAAAAAAGATGCACACTGAAAGATGGAAAGATGTATGACAAGAAAGAAAAAAATGAAAAGATAAAATCCTATGTCAAACAGCAATATTGTTTGAATTAAAACAAACATCAGCAATATTTAGTTCTTACCTCTATGGCTGAGTTTGACCCTGGGGACACTCTGTTTGATGCTTGCTCCAACAGGGAGGATGGCCAACAAAATCAGTCCAAACAGTGTGACCTCCGGATGGAATAGAGCCATAAACTTCTTCCCTTTGCCTCCATAATTACTGCCAGACAAGCAGAACATAGCCCCAACCTCATTCCAGGTCTGATTGCCAGAGTCCTCTTTCTTCATACTGTGTGGAGTCATCTTGTAGTGTTTTCACTTTGTGCTTTTCTGCAACCTTGGAGGGAGACCAGTGTAAAGAGTCAAGCTAGGGAGGAGCAATCATAAGTGTATGAGGATGCAAGCAGTCTCATCTAACTCCAGAGAGGGGGAATATACACAAACTTCTGTGGCTGTTTTGCCATGGAGCCCTACAGGCATGTCCCCTTCCTTTGCCCATCCTACATCAGCTGTTGCTTGTCACCGGCTCTCCTTTTGTTTCGCCTTTAAATCTGTTTGCCCCAAACAAAGGTCAGACTAACAAAACAGTTGCATTCTACTACTTTTCATCAGGCACGTCTCCGCTTTTCTCTCTCCTCCCATATCCTTTTCACATGGATAACTCAACTTAATTCTTTGCCTTAAGGATACTTGCCAGTAGCTTAAGGATTGGTTGATGACCCTGTCACTTCCTCCTTTATACCATGTAAAAAATGGGCCATGCCCTGTTTAGGACGTCACAATCAATTAAAAATGCCCAGACATTAGTTCACATTCTGAAAAGTTAGCTGTCTGACTAGGATTGAAAAGCTGTGCTTTTAAATAAATGTGTGGTTTAGAATAAGTAGCAGGAGCACAGACTGTTACAAGTTAAAAAAAAAAAAAAAGAAGTAAGAAAGAAAAAAGACAAGAACTAAAAATTAACTAATCACTTGTTATATTCTGAAAATCTGTGTTTTAATAAATTAATATTTTTTTCAGTGGTACTTGGACACCTAAAAAGTGAAGCAGTGGAACTAGTATATAAAGATTTGTCAGTGAACCCTGACACTAATTTTCCTTCTTAAAATTAAAGTTGCTTGTCAGCACAATTCATACAATACAAGATAATATTCAGATTAACTTTACCACCTCTTCAAGAGTGCAGAATCATGCAAAATGTTTTTTTACACACATTGCAGCTTCATGAAATCTGTGCCCTTTATTACACTGTTGATGCATTCATTGCATCTTCTAAGTACAGACTGAGTACCGTCCCTGTCTTTAACCTGCATTCCTGAAAATCCCACAGCCATTAGGATACTAATTAACCAGACTATTGATGGAGAAATTAATGAATGCATTGAAAGAATGCCTCCCCTTAAGACCTTTTGCCACCATCATTACTTTCCTTCCACCCAATTTCAGAAAGGACACATCAACCTGTCAAGTGACAACATAAACAATGTCAAGCTAAAGGTAGATTAGATATGACATTCACACTCCTATATCTCTAATATTGACAGCATGTATGCTCCTTAGAAGTCCACCACATATAGAGAATAGCCATTTGATAATGTGTAAGCAGCACCTTAAAAAAAAAAAGGTGATATCCTGAGTAAATATACTGACCCGGGTCTTTGCCCATCGATTTGTACTGCAAGGTAAAATGTGAAACAGATATTAGGTGTTCGACTACAACTCACTTAAGTTTATTTGATTTCTTTCTTCAGTCATCTGATGTTTAAAACTGTAGCTCTTTGTGCAGAAACAGGGGTGAGCGGCACCCTTCCAAGTGCCCCATAGCTTTAAAACGAAGAGGATTAGACTCTGATAAACAGACTGGTGTTTATTTAGGATGACAAATTGAGACGTGTTCACACCTTCAGGGTTAGAAATACAGATATAGAGCTCTGCGTGATGGATGGGCAATCAGCAAAGAGAGTGAGAAAGTTAGGAGGCTAAAATCCCTGTAGTCTTTGCACTTTGTGAGCGATACTGATAGTGCTGATGGTGAAGCTTATCCTCCCTACAGTATTTTCAGGAGAGCAGTGACACAATTTCACTCAAGTGATAAGCACTTCAGTAATGCATCTCTTTTCACAGCTTGAGTGCCCACATCTATCCGCAGCACAGACATGTGCAACACCCTGCTAGAAGAATGACCCCCAGGAAAAGAAAAGTACAAGTCTTGGAAGAAAAACAAACAAAAAAAAATTCTTGAGTAATAGATGACACACACTGGAGGAGGAATACCAGAGTACCAGTGAGTCAGTACTTTGAACGTGTCAATAACGGAAATGAAAAGAGAAATAAGGGAAAAAGTGCACAAGAGATGTGAATAATGGGGGAAACCAACTTCTTGTGCCATGTAAGTTAAACTAACACCCCTATTTCCTGGTGACTAGAGTCCTTGTTGTCTTTGGCAGCATGGCCGGCACACAGTGCAGGGTGTCAGGAGAAACAATCCTGATAGAGATGGTGACAGATTTAAAGCTAGCAGCCAAGGGCTCCTGGCTTCTGATCTCTCACCAACACAAAGCACCTTTAAATATACTGACTCTTCTGTTTCGGTTTAAACAATACAGTCTTTGCATGCCATAAAACATCTACTCAGTTAGTATTATCAGTGAATCTAGTAGCCGACACGCTGTACAAGAAGCGTAAAGAGAAACTAGCTCAAGTGAATACACAACAGAAGTTGCCAGCAGTCATGAGAAAAGAGCAGATGGTGAAGAAGTGCTCTGGCTATGGGCATGCTTGCACCAAGACCACCCCTAATGAGGCATTTAGCAACACCCAGGTGCCCTGTAGAGTACACTATTATCTAACTCCTCCATCTCCACAGGACGGAGTGCATTAGCACAGCTATTTGTCTTTATTCCCTGACCACAGGCACTGACCTAGCAGAACAACATAGGTAATTGTTTCTAGTTCTCAAGACATTAATTGTTTTTCTTGGCAAGAGTCAATCATCTTTTCTTTAGCCTTGTATTTAAGCAAGCATGCAACTCTCTGTGTGTGAGCTAATGTCTCACAGGAAAAATGCTAAAAATACAAACTACAAAGAATATGGAAGAAACATTACATTTTAAAGTGGGTTTACAAACTATAACTCCAGGTATAGATGGAAGTAATTAAGGAAACACGTCACTGTTCCATAAAGACAGGAACCAACCTTAATCTTTGTGTTTTAAAGAAGATGTCATGTCTTTTATTTTTATGTTAGACTTTATGACCACATTAAAATAACAGTAGCACATCTGTGTCCACAAGCTGTCAATAAGACTGATATAAAGGCTTATAATCAGTGGATTTAAAGTATGCTAGGAATTAATTGCTGATTCAAAAAATGTAAATATGAAACATGTGATTATTATTGTATCCATTATTCTGGATACAGATCAACCCCCCCAGCTACAATACATGCTTATAAATTAAAGCTTTTGGGGAACTTTCATAGTATAAATGTGCACGTTTTTTGTGTAATTTGTTTACTCATTTTATTAAGTAGACATCAAGGCCACAAACTGTGATTCATTTAGCATTTTAATCACTAACGTGATCCCACATTATCTGACTGAAACATAATATCTAACAGCGCAGCATGTGCATCTCCTGGGAAATTAGATATCGCTCCAGAAATTGAATGCAAAATAAATTGCCAAAATATCCCCTTACACGCAACATTTAATCATCCAAAACATGGCGATGGAGACAGAGATGGGCTTTGAAGTTGAAAACACTGCAGTAAATTAGTCCCAAATAATGAAGGAATACACAGTGCAAACCATGCTTGGTAAAGATGCCAAATATTTCTCCATGCAACAGAATAGGGTTGATCCCTTACTAGTCGGACAGCCTGGATTTCCTGAAACTGTTACCTTTAATTATATCATATAACTTCTAAAATGTTTGATTACCAAATCTCTCTCATAACTATACAAAATTAGACTCTATGGACTCCAGACAGTTGATTCTACCGCCCTGGTCAATGGATTTAAGTGAGGATTTCCCAGAGTAAATGACTCAGGTCTTAATTTAAACAATATAAACCCACAATTACACTTTGCTCTAAACCACTATGCATGAAATCTGTGAATGGAAATGCCTAGACAAGAGGACATTCCAGTTGAATTCCTTCCGTTCTGGAAGTGAAGAGTACGTCTGTGGGGAATACCAAAGAAGATGGATTAAATTCCAACCCTGAGGTCCTGTCTGTCTACATTTTGTCTGTATCTCAAAACACTGGAAAGGGAACACTCCTGGAGGCTGCTGGTATGGAAACCAAATACACCAAAGCCAAATAATATGCCCCAGCACCTGTTATTAAAGACTCACTTTATGTTTACTGTTGGTCTTCAACAATAGAAGACAAGGTTCACAGCTCCTCACAACCACATGCAGTTGTCACAGAGCCAGCTCAGGTCTCCTGTCACACACAAGGGTTAATGGAAAGCTGGGAGGAAGCCGCAAGGAGTGATACTTGATCTATGGTTTAACTCGTCAACAGAGAAAATGGCAATTAAAAAACATGAGCTGAAAACAAAGCCAGGGAATATGTAAAAGAGAGAACAGACCATGTAACTGAGACGGTTGGATGAAGATAAACATGCAGGTAGTTTTGCCGATAATTGACAACAAAACCAGTAACTCTACTCACACAGAACAGGTCATGACGCCGGAAAGCCACTCAGAATCTGTATGAGTGCCTGCATGTATGAACAAATGTGTGCGTGTAAGCTAATACCATCCTGAGGGAGGCAGATGGGAGCAATATAGGGCATGAAAACAGTGACTGACATTTGTAAGTGCACCCACTTGTATCCTCATGGCCTGAGGATATAGGGGTACACCCATCTAGGCTACGCAACAACTCTTCTCAAGACCAAACTGTCATCTACACACTTGAGAAGCAACTGTATTGTTCTTTGTAAGTGCTGGAAAGACTCTGTTATGCAGTTTATCTCCATATGAGCCTAAGCACAGTTCATTTACAGAGTGGGGACACAGAGAGGCCACAGAAAGACAGCCAAACCGAGCCAGTCAGTCTGTCTGCAAGTCACTGGCACCTAGCTGTTGTAGACACTCTAAACATACTAACATCACTGCAGTAAATGTGTCTTCTCAGTTGCTTTGTCTGTCAGCACTGAGGGATTTTGCTAACATAACCATATTAGGCTAGACTAGTGTGCAGCATACAAGTATGTTTTAATAACACTTTCCACCCGAAACCTGTTGAGTTTCGCAAAAGACCCCTTTAAGGTTTTAGTTTTCATCACTGTCCAGGAAAAAGCCTCAGCATGAGACTGCACTGACTTCTGACAGAGCTCAGAAGTGTTGCTGTAGGCCATTTAAAACACAGCTCAATATTGATGCTGTGTTTGTTTTAGAGAAATGTTGGATTGGTCCAGACATGCCACATAGAACTGGAATGAATTAGTGCACACAGGAGGCACAACTGTAGCACGGCATGGGAAGGGCATTGATTGGCATAGCAAACAATGGAATACACCCCTTTAATCAGTCCAACATAGTAACTTATTTTTTCACATGAAAGGTTCCTATCACAGCCACAGCAGTCTTGAGCCTTCCCCATTCCCGGCCAAGTAAACATGGGGATGTGTGTGTATACTGCAGTGTGTATGTATTAGGTATGCCTGACAGCATCTCAATGACGCAATGTTTGGACACTGTTTAAAGAAGAAAATCAGACAAGATTTTCTGTCTTGTCTTTCTGTCGCCCAAGGCAGAAGTCATTTATTTACCTCAGTCATGCTGATCGAAACCCCTGAAACACTGCCAGAGAAATCAATGCATCCACACAAGTACAAACTCCCCTCCCTCCCTCCCTTGTTTACCTCTCTCAGAACCACCAGATCCCAGTCTAAAGTTAAGTAAACCTTTAAAAGAAATATGGGGAGAGTGGACCAGTGAGAAAGAACTACATCACTACTTGTTTTCTTTTCTGCTGGACTGTAAACCACTAACATGCACAAACACAAATAAATGACCTCAATGAGGTAAATGTGTCCACGTCAACATTTTACTGTATGAATGATTAATTCAGACAGTAGACATGTACTTGGCTTAAGTCCATATAGTCACATTCAGTTTGGGGGCATTTAGAATTCCCACCCCCTCCCCAAACACTGTGCAAAGACAAAAATTCTCCCTCTTACCAACTTCTGATATATCCATATACAGTCTCTGTACTTTAAACGATCTATCAAGAAAAAGAAAACAATAAAGAAACTTAAATATTGATTAATACGTTTAAGTTTGTAAATCCAGCTTAATAAAATGTACAGATACACATAAAGCGTTAAACCCCCTTTAAAACTCTGCAGTATTAATTTATTAATTTAAACTCTACTGTGGTCCACCTGACACACGGTTATAACTTGGTGTAGATTATTACCCTCGTTATTATTATGGCGTGTTCCTCACCTGCTCGCTCGCTGACTTCGTCTCTTCTCGCGTGCAAGTGCACCACATGAATAGCAGTGTCTCAGAAAGTTGTCCGTTGCAAACACACACACAAAAAAACGACCAAAAGTATGACACTTGGCACAACTTCAACCCGACCAAAAGGAAAGTGGATGGATAAAATGAGGTCTTCCTGCAGATATTTCCACTCCCTGTAATGTTAGTTAAACTGAAAAGCGCTCTTGAACTCTTCGTGCACTGCGTGTGTGTATTTTGGATGGCTGGGTAGTCTGTGGCAGTACGCCCCGGGAAAGACAGACGGCAAACTCCCAGTTGTGCTGCTGCTGCTGCTGCTGCTGGAGGGGAGGGGCCCTCAGCATCTGTACCGCCGTTCTTTTGGGCGCTCCACAGTTTCAGTTTCATCCCTCCGAAAGTGCTCCGAGTATTAGAGTTACGTTGGGCCTTAATAACGGTTATGTATTTCGACTAATAGCGTGATCAAAACAGCTTAAAACTGATCTGAAAAGCATTTATAACCATGAATAGACTCACCAGTCACAGCTCGTGTTACTGCAAAACATGTTAGTGATCATGTGGTATTTTATAATTATTAGTGGCAAAACTATGGCTGAAAATATTATTGCAGTCAGCTCATTGGACTGACCTAACCACTGAGGACTGCCTCACATTTTTCTGTGGTGCTTTTCTCCTCTTATTGACCACTCAGTGCTTCACTCTACAATAATGCCCTCACCCATTTTTTCTTTAAGCATGCATCAATTTATCTGTCACACCAGTGAATACATTGGGGGCAAGCCTGATTTCAGTATCTTGCTAAGTGCACTTCCACCTACAAGCTGTACAGTAGGAGGTGGGGATCAAACCAATGACATTCCCGTTTATAGATGATTACCTGTGTTTAATTATTTAATTTTACATTGTTTTCAAGTAAATTGGAGTAACTCACATCGATTTAATCACGAAAATATGTTGTAATCCCCTGGGGAAATGGTTAAACTGTCCGTGTTTTGATATATATAGCCATTTGTGTCCAGTCAAAGTCTATGCGGCTCATTTTTGTAAACTTGTGTGTACTCTGGGTTTCCCTGATCTACTAACAAGCAGAAAGAACCAAGAGCTGACTGTTGGTTCAGGCAGCAGATTTTGGCTGTGTGTCACAAAAGACTGTGCAACGAATGGAGGAGTTGATTTTGAAGTAAACATGGATTTCTTTGGCACTCTCTATTCATGTACACACAGACGTGAGTCAATCCAAATCTGCACTTCTTGTGAGTTGTGGAAGGGTTAGAGCCAAACATGCACAAAAAATGAATTTATTCAAGAACAGAGCTGTAATGTTGGACCAAGAAAAGAGAGTTGCAGGATATCCCACCCATAAACTTAGATGAAAATGCTTGTTATTGAATTTTGGTTGTGATGATCATATCACTTTTCCAGTGGTGGGTGTGTATCTTCAACAAATTCGACTGGGTCCCGGTTACCCAAGAGGATTAGGTTAAAGGTCAACAGGTGAAAAGAGTATCCGCCCGCACTGTTGGGAGGTTTAGTGTCAGGGTGTGATCTTCCTCAGGATATCGTTCTCTTGCGCACACTCACGCAAATACACATACACAAGCGGAAAGCAGTTAGTGATGACTTGTACTGACGACATAAGGTTGCACACTGTCCAATGTTCATTTGATCCCTGCCCATTCTCCAGAGAGCTTTGTCAAAAGTGTGTGTATGTTTGTGATTGTGTGTGTGTGTACTTGTAATGTAAACCTGTTTTTGTTTTTTAGGTCAGGATAATGTTTGGAACATATGTTATATGATGAGATGATAGTATGTGGTTAGACGATATGGTATGGTTGGGGTAAATGATTGGGAAATTAATGTAAGTTCATGTGTGAAGTGATTGAAACAACTGTGTGTGCCTGCGTGTGTGAGGAATCGAGTAAAATACTTGCACAAATTGATTGATTTCCTTGGGATTTTCCCTGGGATTTGGGTTGAGTGACATAAGAGTTTAGCCTCATACTGGAATACATTACTACATTTCACAAACTCGAAGCACATATATTTGTCTCCAAAAACACCCAAATGTTTGTTTATTTATTTATCTATCACGTACTGGACCATTATATCCTGTTATTTAAACATACTATAGAAATTGCTCAAATTGCAGGAGAGAGACAACAATAATACCTGCTCAGATTCAAATTGGAGACGTTGTGGTGCACGATTGGCAGCTTAACCTATTAGCAACAGAAGCACATATGTTAAGTAACTCGAGACCCTTTGTGGGATTTTAAACAATGTTCAAACACTTTAAAATCTGAAGGATGCGGACGGTGATTTCAGTACCAGAACATGATTTTAGTGGACAGTTTAACAAATTGTGGGAAAGTTTCCTAAAAACTGGCTGAGTTATTTAAAAGAAACAAAGAAAAAAAAAAAAAAAACACCCCAGAGCGTTATACATTGTTCCAATTAATATTATGAGTAGAGCACTTTATACAAGCTGGAGCTAGCATATTCTAGCTTATAGAATGTCCACTTAAGTCTACAGGATAAGAAGTTGTGTATAAAGGTTTTACCTCTAATTGATGCTTCTTAATGGGGCATCAGATGTTCAATCTGGATGAGGTGGAAAGCTGCAGCCATCTCATCCGATCTCTTCATTGAACAGTGAACTTCATCCTGAAAAAGAATCTAATGCCAAAATGTAAACAGAAGATTGTGAGCAATGGAGGAGAAAGAATGTTATTTGAAGAACAATTTGCATAAATGTGTCTACAAGAATGCAAAATCACCAGTCTTTAAAAGTGGAAACACTTTCATTGGAAAAGTGTGTGTTTGGGATATGTACATGGCCAATATGTCACATTTTAGTGTGGGTTATATATTTTTATTCTTTCTTAAAGGTTTTGCTAAAGCACAAAAAGAAACTGCTGGTGTAAGATTGAAGGCTAAGTTCTCTGGTAAGTCAAATGAGGCGAATGTGCTAAAAACTGTGACATTAAAGTTCCATTATTAGATTCACAATCCTTATTTGTTTTTAGAGAAGGAAATGGCTTTTTCTTGCATACTTGTGGTATTCGTTGGCGAGAGGGTCGTGTGCACAGTCACACACACAGTGTTTGTCAGAGTGCAGAATGTAATGCAGTCTGTGAGTAATTTCTAACACTAATCGTGAAGATCTACAGCAATAGGGCAGTTATTCAGGCCTGTCAACACAAGCAGCTCCTATTTTACTTCGGACACACACGGAGGCCTCCAAGATTTACTTCCAATAGACCTGAACTGATTAACTAATCTTGATTACAAGAACTGCCACCAGGCTTGTGGTGCTCTTAAACAACTGGAGCTTAATTGTCAACAATTGTTACTTATTGATGATTAGGGATAAGGATCATTAATTAGATCTCAACTAGACATGTCAACAAGCAATGTAAGTATTTGAATAGCCTAAGAAAATTGAACTATACAGAAACACATCAGACTCAATCTTTTTCCCAGAGATGGTATACAATATTCATATGCAGGCTAAGGCTTCTTTAAATAAAGTTGTTTGTGAATAATAATCTGCATCATTCCTCTTCACGTCTATTACTCTTCCACATATACAAAGAGGCTTACTTACTACTTCTGTGTCAATGATTTGTGGATGGGTGGACACAAACACTATGGCAAGCATTCCGATAGCTCACGATACTTCAATGTTAGGAATCCATCGAGATATCACGGCTGCTGTATCACATTACAAACGTGTGTTACTCATCATGGGTGTTTCTATGTAGCTGCATCACTGCAATGTAGTTAAAAAGAAAGCACACCCTCTTAACTCGGGGTTTCACATATCAGAACATAGTCAAAAATGAGAAATATGGGCCACACCAGATTTTGAAGTTATTAAAACAAAATCTGGTGACATGATGTAGTACACCATGTCATTATGAAACAAAAGCTAAGTTAAAATTCTGATACATTGTGTGAAAAATTAAGTACACTCCAGGATTCAGTATGTGGCCAGGGCAGTAAAAAGAAAAGAAGGAGAACCGACAATGCCACTTGAGGAATTGCACCTCAGGAATTATTAATCTAATGACTTTGTTACATAATCAGTTGGTAGTAAAAGCTCACAGGCAGGGAACAGGTGTAACACGTTACTTTCAATTCTTTATCTGATAAAAGTTAAAAACAAGCCTGGAGCTGCAAATAAATAAATAAATAAACAAGTTAAAACCAAAAAAAAGATATTAGATATTATTCTATAATACATTTATTTATTTTAAAAAGTAAATAGATAAAATAAAATATCAGCTCCAATAAATAAATCTATACAACTATCTGGGAGGCAAACTACAGTGCCTAGGGGTGCCAC